TCAGAAATCAGGTCAACATGCCAGTTTTCAGAGGCCTTTTATTTCAAAATTCAACATCGGATCCAGACGAGGGTGGTCTGGGTGAAGAGCCGGGGTGCTGGATTCCTTCTTTTAGGATGTTCTAAAAATGGGAGAAAAGATCAACATGTTAGAATGCAGGTCATGTCAGAACGCAGGCCATCTTGTCACTTTTCAGAGGACATCAGATCCGAATGAGGGTGGTCTGGTTGGATACCTGGAGTGCTCTCGTGTCCCACACGCCTGGTTTGATTGAGGGATAACTGAAATTAATTTTTAAGAATCTTTTGAAATAAGGAGAGGAGCTCAAAATGTCATATTTGAGAGGCATTTTCATTGGTACTGGAACATTCGATCTGAATGCCAGTACTCTGGTTGTACACCTGGCGTGCACTTGTGTGTCAACAACATGGTGTGGTTGCGCAATCACCCAGATTTATTGTTTTAATGATTTTTTTTTAATATCAAGTGAAATTGATGTCGAATTATTTTTAATATCAACTGAAATTGATGTACAATCACCATTGACTTTATTTTCTATCTCCACTTGAGAACACTTATTGGTGCTGTTGTGAGAGTTCTTGTTCTTCCTCTGTGAATCTTTACCCGACAGCCAAGAAAGTACTTATTTTATATTTTAATTAATTTCTTTTCACTCAAAAAATGACGTTTATGCATGCGTGGGGATGCATTAGTGGATGGTCTTTTATTTTGAAGGTGGCCAACGCTGCTCGCTGGCGACAGATTACCGTAATGCACAGTATTGACAATCGCAGTGGCGGCTCACTTGACTTCGATTTTGCGAGTGGAGGCTGGCTTGACCGCAGTTTCTTACTGGCATAGAAGAGTAAAAAAAGCAACTACCATGAACCAATCTAAAAAGCGAGGTATGGTGTGTTCCATGTCGGCAATTTTGTGTCACCTTTCGACGTCGACTTGGGTGTGAAGTTGCCGCAGGAGGAGGCCGTGAAGCTGACGTTGGCCCTCTGTCTCCTGCTCCTCCAGCAGCGGACCGTCCTCACAAGATCTCCGACTCACTCTTAACACGCACAAAATTGAAGCCATATTCTCTTGGTTATTTAGTCCATCAGTATCGGAATCATCTTTAATGGCCAAGTATGTAGAACACACAAGGAATTTGTCTCATGTAGTCCAGGCTGCACTACTATTATGAATAACAAGCAACTACGATAAAAACAAGGACATGACAAAAAGTATCGAAAGACTTTCGAAATGTAAGTCCCGTGGGCCAACTTTAGGGACATTCTTTATTCATGAATATTTAAAATATTAAAAAAAAGTGAATTATGAACTACGTTATCACGTACTTTGGCGACCGAGAAGTTAACGGTAGCCGAAGAGTGGTCTGTTCGCCGTCATATAATCACCGCAACGGCAAAATAATTATGCAAAACACGTGAAAACAAATATAATTTGTTGTTAAAGATTGCGCATCGGCGCTTGTTAACAAAATTAACTTTAAGAACGACAAAAAGAACTTGTTCGGAATAAAGAAGAGGCGCTTTGTTTACCTTCGCATACTTCCGCGTTGGGAATACGCTTCCGGCGAATTGCATCATGGGCAATACGAACATATTACGCTACAGATGGCGCCGCTCGCCGAATTGCCAGTTTTCCTTAACGTTATGACGGTCACGACAAAGTACCTCCATGCGAAAGGTAACCATAAATAGTATTTATGCTTAAAAATTGAGGCAAGGTCCTTGCTCATCTTTCCCACGCGGGCTTCCGCGTTTGGCTCCCGCTTCCGGTGCGAGGCATTATAGGAAATGTAGTCAACCTTTCAGACTGGGTCGAGTGTATACTGTTTCGATATGGGTATGTTCTTAAAAATATTGATAACTGTTGGGCAGCAGGTCCGTGTTAGCGACATTTTTAACGAGTATTTGTAGATTTGATCCTGCAGCACAGCTGTTGAATGGAGTTTATGCTGCAAAATGATGCTTGCGCCTTTATAATAGATCAGCGTGTTGGCTCTCTTTCAAACTTGTGTTCGGTGTCATATTTATCAGATGCTGCAAAGCCTAAACGCGTACGCACGGAGACCAAAGCCCTCCCCACCCGGTTGGAGTGTCCTCAATTTGCCTTCCGGATGACGTCAGTAAGGTGACATGGGCGCTCTCCACGCATGAGAGCGGCATGGCAAATAATTTGGGGTGCGTGGACTTTCAATGCATTCAGAAATTCGCCCGTGCATGTTCCCCGGTGCACAACATGGCATTCCTCCTCGTACAGCGACTCGGCTCGGGCTTCTCCGCAAAGGGCTCTCTCTGCGCAGCAAGTGAGTGACAGAGATGAGGGGTGGGGACGCAGGGTGGGGTCACAAGCAGGGAGAGGCGGAGGAGGAACAGGCAGAGAGAGAGAGCCCAGCCCTTCAATGCACGGCAGCGAACGGCAAGAACCAGCGGCGCAACGTTTGGCTGATTTATTCCATTTTTTATATTTATCTTTTGGGAAGAGGTTACAAAGACAACGACGCTGCGGACATGAACTGAACAGAAGAGGCAAGCACCACCGTGCTGCAATCTCCCGAATATCCACAGCACACCGCCCCTTCCTCCTCCTTGTCCTCTCCCATAAGCCCTCCTTTCTCCCCTTACCCCACATTACAGCGATACACACCCAACACCACCCTCCTCCGCCCCCTGCCCCTCCACACGGAGATGCACACGGAGAGCCGACACAAGAAAGTAAGTGCACGTTCTATTTGACACATTGTGACGTTGTCAGCGCGGTGCGATGCGTTCATAATGTTAACGGGTGTCGTGGCTGGCGAAAACGGGCGAACGGGGGTAACGCAAGGCGCGATCTGCAGCCTCACAGGGCACCATCTTAGTTTTTAAAGGGCCAGCAGTACCGTTTCGCCCCCCACCCCCTCGCGCATGCGCACGGGAGGAGAGCCAGGTGCACTTCCGGTCGCCATTGCTGTACATCCTTTGTTTATGAAGGTTAGAAGGCTACAAAGTGAATTCATTTTTGGTCAAACGTGACTTGCCTAGCGAGGGAGTCGTCACACTGTGGTTGACCAGTGAACACTGTACTCATATCGTGTATTTGGCTGTCTGACTTGCTGGCAACGATTGCATTGCTTGTCTTGTGGTGGATAATTATAATTTTATATATATGATATGCTTGGTTTCAGTGTAGTTTTTATTAGCTTTAGTATATATATTTGTCAAGTGCAAGATAAAAAAAAAGTCACTATTGTGTAATAAAGTCAACAACAATGCTCAAACAACTTTTTGACCATCCTTCTTCCCAACGAATGTACAGCAATACTGAAATAATTCCATTTAAAATAAACTCCAAAAGCTCAGCTATGACATTGACAAGATGAAAAGGGCAGGGCATTTTTGCTATAATTATAGTTTGTTTTAGCTACTTTTATAAATGTAAACAGTAGTTTCGTTCATTTTCGTCTTTTAGGCACATTTTCGTTTTATTTCTCGGTTTCAGTTGGAGTCATTTTGTTTGTTCCCATCCATCCATTATGCAAGCTGCATATCCTCACGAGGGTCGCAGGCATGCTAGAGCCTTTTCCACCCATCTTTGGGCAGCAGGCCGGGGTATGCCCTGAACCGGTTGCCACCCACTCGCAAGTACAAAACCAGTCACACTCACAACCATATTTAGAGACAATTTAGTTCACACAATCAACCTAGCATGCAAGTTTTTGGAATGTGGGAGTACCCGAAGAAAACCCACGCAGGCACAGGGAGAACATGCAAACTCCACACAGGAAGGCTGGTGCCCGGATGAGAACCCATGACCTCTGCGCTGTGAGGCGGACATGCTCACCAGTTGCACACCGTGCCTGCCTGTTAGTTTTCATTAACTATAAAAACCTTACGTGTGTGTGTGTGTGTGTGTGTGTGTGTGTGTGTCTACATCATCCTCACATCACATGAACACGTTTGCCATCCTGATTTTGAGGGTCTGAAGATGGCCGAGGGGATGACGCGTGTCTGTGTGAAAGCGCGCTTAAAATCCCGCCTTTGCTGGGTGGCTACTGTCTAAAAAGGAGAAGGGGGTAAATGCCGGATCCCTCCAATTTTGCAGAATATCTATGTGAAAGACAATAATGTGGATAAAGTCAATCTGGCAAAGTTCCACTTACTAAAGTCACATCCGAGGTGGGACATCGCCGGTGTCAGAAAAATGCCGCAAAGTTGAACACCCTACCCTCACCTCTGCCGCATTCCTTGCCTCACACCACACGCTGATGTCCTCTAACGATTTGATTGGCTGCCGCGAGGCTTCATCTCCTGAGGAAGAGACCACTGAACTTAGATTATCAACAGCAGGTAAAGGCGCAGATAGAGAGAGATTCGAAGAGAAAACTTGGTGGAGAGAAGAGAAGTGGCGGTAAAAGAGGCCAAAATCCAGCGCTGTCAGGGTGTCGCAGTTTAATCTGCAGGTCACAACAGAAAGATTAGAAGACATAGAAGTAGAATGTTTTCCATTTTGCCACTGAACTTTTTGGGATAGTATGGGCAGGAACCTTCTCGGGCTTCACGTAGAGAGAGGCTGACACGGGAGAAGCTTGTTTCATGCGGTGGCTCAGTATTTTGGTATCAGGTGGCTTGAGCGGATGACTGGTTAGTTGGCCAGCTGGCTGCCTCTTTGTGTGTGTGTGTGTGTGTGTGTGTGTGTGTGTGTGTGTGTGTGCATCAAGATAAATGAGCGCAAGGTAAGACGACATGGTGTGAGGAATGGGCCGCGCGCTTCAGGGCCAGCCCGAGGGTCACCGCCGGTGGGTGGCGGCGCGCCCGGGTCGCCGAGTCGAGATGTTGTCAGCGAGAATTAACGAGCGGCAGGTAGTCGGCGTGGCGCGCGGCAGCAGTGGCGAACGAAAATTAATGCGCTGCTACAATGTACTGTACTGCTGCTAGTGGGAGTGGATATCGATAGGATTATCGCACTGTAAGTTGCTGGCATCGATAGGTGGACATGTGAAAGCGCTGTAAAAATGAAGATGTATTGCAAAGATACATGAATCATCTTCCGACCAATGAAATGAAATTTGATGACACCCCAGCGGCACACCTTTCGAGCTCTCGCGGCACGCCGCCACAATTGCACCTGGATCACGACATAAGACAACCACGTCGAGTATCAACCGTCGCGAAGGAACCGAGGGAGATATCGGCTCGATGCTGGTTACTTTATTTCTTCCTGAATGTGATAACTTCCACCGTGTCGTGTTGGCAAAGATGTTTATTGAGCCAATAAACTTAGAGAGTGAGAAGTTGCCTCATTTCCTCAAGCCGCAAAGAGGAAGTTCTTCTCTTCATTTGCTGGTCAACCTCGCTTGACCTCTATTTATAGACATACACAGACAACTTTATATGCGCTTAGTCTCCTCTTGGGTACCCCCCCCCAAAAAAAAAAGTAAATGCAGTCCAAATCTAAATGAAAAAAAGGTAAACACAAAAATGCTGAAATTAGCTTAACTCCACAGTCTCCGCTCGGCTGCACTCTGCCCTAAGTCCTCTCTCAGATCAAATTAATCTCCATACCACTTGCCACATGCTGATAAGTGAATTGACAAAAAAAAAACATGGAAAAAAAAACACACCAACAGGCTAATGTTAGCTTAGCATGTTGGTGCAGTATGGCACTCCACAATCGAAACGGAAAAAATGTGTCTCGTGGTGTTTTTTGTTTTTTTCATAGTTTCCCACTTTTTGATGACTGTTCTCAACCGTGTGCTGCTTTCAGTTTCTCTTTGCCTTTATTGCCTCTCGCTGACAGCGCCATCCGCGCCGTGTCCTTGAACGCAACGTTTGAGGAACCTTCTGAGCGCAGAAGCTCAGAAGCTGCTCGAGTGTGTTTGTTTGCGCTCGATGGATGATTTCTCTACTTTCTGCTTGCGTGCACGTGTGTGGGTGCGCATGTGTGCGTGCGGATAAGAGGGTGTGTGGGGAAGTGGCGGCCGGCTTTGCGTCAGCAGGGTGTGGTGTGATAACATGCAGGCGGCTTCTCTCGCTTGCCTCACTGCTCGCCAGATGGAGGACACACCCGGTGTTTCATTTCACTCTTATGTGCACTCCCTGCGTGCATTTGCGTGTTTGTGTCTGCGTGCAATAGCGTCTTTCGACTCGCCCTGGTCCAGGATGGTCGTTTTTGACCGTAAAACTGCTAAAACCACAGTGCAGCGAACGCATCGGTCAGAATGAGACACATTTTATCCAAGAGGAGACTGAGGGCAGCAAGGTGGATCAGCTAATATTAGCAGGACTGATCAGGAATTAGCTATTGTTAGCATGACCCTGCCCTCAGTCTCCTTTTGAGTAAAGTAAAATTGATCTCTGTGCCTTTGCCCGCAGTCTCCTTTTGGGTTAAATTTGTCTCTGTACAATTTCTCCATACCTTTTCTCTCAGTCTCCACTTGGATCGTTTTCATATCTCCATGCAATCCAGTGTGTCAGAACCACTTTTTTTCGGAGTGAACTTGACGTGAACCTGGAGCGTGCGGTCACTTTATTTTTACCCTCTTTATTCATGCTCATTGTGCAAAAAAAATCCCCAACAAAAATCTCTTGCAATGTGATGTGATGTGTGCGTGTTTCTGTACCTTTTTTTTTTTCTGGGGTGCCTTGGGGGTTTTCTCCGCCTCCGAGCAGCTCGTGGGAGCGGGCAGTCGTGTTATGAGCGCATATGTGTGGATCCTGCAGGGGGCAATCCCCCACCCCCCCATCGGAAACACACACACACACACACACACACACACACACACACACACACACACACACACACACACACACACACGGTGAGGACCTGTGTGGTGGTGGGGGGGTTGCAGTGACAGCGAGTGAGCAGAGCGCTGACCCAGTTAGACTCGGCTGTCCCGCCCTCTCTCTCCCTCTCTCTCATGCTGCAAAAGTGGGGGAAGCATGTAATAATGCTTAGGTGGAGCTATGCTAATATGCTAATCTACTAATCATAGTGGCGGTTAAGGCTAACATTAGCCTACAACTCCCCAGTCATAATGTTGAACGGATCCAACTCCATTTTCTTTGGGCTGCTTTTCAAGTGTTTGGATGTTCCAACAGTTTTAGGGACAACCTGAAGGCTTTTTTTTTTTTTTAAACTGTACTGACGGCTGATGGTGAAAAGAGTAATTGACAACCATTCATTTGCAGTGCAGAAAATGTAAAAACAAACAACAGATCGGCTTTTCCGTGTTCTTCTTCTGGAGTGTTAACGGTGCTTACTGGTTCATTAGCGCCACCAACTGACATTGTCCTTCAAATGCAAGTAAACTTACATTAATTGATGGTGGCCTGACGATGCCAACTTTGCTGGTGCTTTGAACTAGTGGGGTTCTGAAGCACACACACAGACCTCACATTTTTGTTGGTATCGAAAAAAAAGAATAATTCACCCAATCAATAGCTCACCCCCCCCCAAAAAAAAAAACAAAAGTCAAGACACAATAAATGTGGGTTCACTGTTATGTAAAAATCCATTCAAAAAAATGGCTTCCAAAAGGTGCAATGTGGTGGGGGTGGGGCGTGTTAAAGAACTAAATATAGTGGGGGGGAAATTTTGGGGTGGGCTGGGGTTACCATTTGAAAGTATTGACAAGTTTGTGGATGCCATACAACTTTGTACTGTTTTGCTGTTTGACATTTTTCAAGCGCTGCAATCCAGTTTGGCGGACGGACGGACGGACGCAACTCTTGAG